AACACCCAGCAAGCAGGCCCCTTTAGGCTTCAGCAGTCACTCGCCTCCTTATATAATACATATAACACTTTACCTCTGGAAATTATTTCTGATGATGACCCGGATATCAAAATTAGGAAACAGCCAGAAAGCATTTCCTTTCTTTTATGTTTTGTGCCAGTTGCCCTCCCTGAGTCCTTTCATTTATCCTGGCAGAGGTTTGTCTCTTTGCCTTTAAAAGTTAAATCCACCTTCATCGCACAATGTAGAAAGAAGTGAAATTAAACTGCAGTGTGTTCCAGAGGAGAAAATCTACTTTATTCATCTCTCAGCCCTACTTTAACTTACACTGACCTAATTACAGCCACACCAGGAGAGGCGGAAGAGCTGAAGGAGCGCTTCTGCCACCTAGTGGTCAGTGTCAGGAACTGTGCCCGGAGACCTCCACATTTTTGCTTTATTTTTTAAATGTCTGGCACACAAGTGCAAATGAATGACCTTCTCTAGTCTCTGCGTGAATATTGAGGGTATGCATCACACACTGCTCTGTTCCTTTGGAGATTCAAAATGTAATGGTCTTCTAAAGAACTCTATTTAGAAAAGGTTGAATTAATGGCTCTTAAGATGAACCGTAGCTTGAAAACTATTTCATTAAGACTGCATGCCATTTTATGAAAGTTAAATTGAAAATGATAATCCAAATATTAATACAATTTCAAGCAATATTTTAAATATTATGTTTTGGATTTAATATTTAGGGATGTTAGCACCCTCCCCACTAAATCATTTATCCTTCCTCATAGCAGCTGCACAATTTAGCTAACTGAATGATTTCTTCAGTGCAGCTCCTGGCTTGTTTATTTGTTTGCTTTGGGGAGTGGTAGTGGACATTTAAGAATGCTTCTTTCTCTTTTTCTGGCTTCATTAACGAGTTATTGATCAGCGACTTGAAAGAAAAACTTGGATGAAAAATGTAGTCAACCCTGTATCACCAATGCTAATTAAAACCAGAGAATGGAAGTAAAATGAAAGGCATTCACAATGCCCAAATCTCAGGGCAGCTGATCTCCTCCTCCACCAAAATGTTAAAGCAGCAGCCATGAGCAGCTCAGCCTGGCGTTACAGCCTGAGTCACTGAGCAAGGAAACGCCCCCATGCAAAAATCCTTTTGGAGATGAAGCAAAGTAATTGGCTGTGTACAGAGTGGGTAATCAGTTTTGGAATCATTAGGGTAAGTGATGTGTAGGGTCACATTTGCACCCTCTTTAATAAAGCATTCAACGTGATGTGAAAATATTTAGTGTTGTATTAAGACACTTTGCAATGCTGTGGCTGCAGATTGCTTATCATATTATATCTGAAGAGAAAATTAGTAAAAAAAACATTGCCATTATTCATAAGGACTGTAAGTGCCTATTGTTTTCAAGATTGTGTTTAGAGTCCTGGTGCTGCAAGAGAGTATCTATGGGATTTATGACTCAACAAACCTGTTTTATTTTTTAAAAACTTAGATTGTATTCAAAATGATATGATCACTTATTCATCAGATATTAATCGGAGAGTAAAGTATAAGCCATCCCCTATAATAGGCACAAGGTTTACCTAACTACAAGCAGAACCCAACATGGCTGGGTTCTGACACAGGTTAATTTGATTTTTTTCCTCATCTCTCTGCACCATGCAGGCTAAAATAAGAAATAATGTGTATGTATTGCACAGTATCTAAAAATCAGCTCACTTACTTCAATTCCTCTAGCCTGTCTCAATCCAGATCCTCTTTATTTTTAGCTTTGCCGGTCAATCTATGCTCAGTTTGTGTCTACTGCAGTTCAAATCCACTCTTTCCACTATAGTCAGAATCATGTTGTTCCTAGTTAAAAGTTGGTTTTGATTGATAAATTAAAAAGGCAAACTCAAAACCTTCCAAAATTTACTAACTGAACTGATTTACCTCATATCACCCTCTTCCTATACCTAGCTTGGTGCTGACTCTTACACATAATGAGTTGCTTCCTTAGAGAAGGATTTCATAATTCTCTTCTCAAAAATGAGCTTTTTCTCTCAAAACATCCTTAGCATGGAATTATGCCATTATCTGCATGATTTCACTTAGTGCTTTCTTTCACACCATGCATATCACGTCGGTGCCTCTCAAAAATGTTGAGGTGACCATCATGTCCATTTTTCAGGTTAACAGTCTGAAGATTAGGAGGGCTCTTTGTCACACAAATAGCTGCACCCAAAATAGATCCCATGTCATTCAGCTTTCTTAATCCAAGATGTTTTTTGAATGCAGTGCTGGGACTAGTGATTGGTAGAAAATCTGGTGGCATCATGAGATGACACCATGGGGAAAATGTTTCTCTGTAACATTTGCTCCTTTCAACTCTGGGGGATTGCAAAGTCAGTTATCGGAAGATGAGGGGAGGGTGATGTGGTTTCTACAATAGAGATCAGACTGGAAATATTTCATATGTGTTAATAGAAATTTTGAGGATGTCCTCACCTTGCCTTTGAATGAAGAAAAGTTCTGCCTATGAAAACAATAGATTCGGTAGAACAGATAAATGTTAAATAGCCAACTCATATAATCCCTTTATTTTCAAATACTAATATAGTAGTTACTTGCTTTTATTCAAAGACATTTCCTGAGCAATTGCCATGTACCAGGGCCCTCTTTTTTGTACTGGTGAGCAACGTGAAGTCACGAAGTTCCTGAGTGATTGCTTTTTAGGTCAGGGGAAGATAAGAGGAGAAAACAATTAATGTGTTATATAAAGGTGCTTGTGATGAGTGCTATAAAACATAAAGCTGGGTGAGGATAAGGAGAGGAGGGGTCTGTTATTTCAGATACAGTCATTGGGAAGGCAATAAAGTGAGGGAGTGAACCACATGAGTTTAAAAGGTAGAGAGAGGTCCAACCATGAAGGGCCTTTGGATCAGGACTGACTTTCACAGTAGGCACAGTAGCCACAGTGCCTAGGGCTCAGAGTGACTTAGGGGTCCACAAAAATCTTTTAATTTCTTTTAAATCAGAAGACAAAAATGAATTTTTTAATCAAAGTTTTTAATGTATACTATTAATGTGTTGCTCTCTATACCAAGGCAGTTGTGAAATATAATGTTTAATATATTTTATGGAGGGAGGAACCCACAGAGGCAAAACTGCCCAACATCTACAGGTGTCACAAAGTCACTTTGCTTTGAATCTTAAACTAAAGAGTGACAAGGATGTCAATGGAAGTTGTAATCAGGTATAGTTTGAGAAGAGAGGAGACTTCACCTGAGAATTGGGAAGAAAGGGAGGATCCAGCAGAGGAAACTAAGATGGAGTAGTGAGTGGGCAGAGAGGAAAAGAAAGACTCTTCAATCCTGGGAACCAAGTGAATAAATGTTGCAAGAACAAGACCTTAATTTTCTTGGATACCAATGCAACATCAACTTGTTCCCTTTTTTTTTGCCTTTGGTTTACACCTAGAAACTGAGGAAGTCTGATGTAAAGAGTCCACACAACTTTCTCCCTAATTGCTAACTAATACATGTCCTTTTCCCCCAAAAATTATCTGTCTTTGCCAAGCTTCTGGATTTTCATTGGTACTCTCTAGATAATACCTTTTGGTGGAAAATACTTAGATTATATTAGAAAAAAATTTGCCAAATAAGATCAGGCACTATCATTTTTTAAATAAGAAAAATTATTCACTTAAAGCAGCAGTCCCCAACCTTTTTGGTACCAGGGACCAGTTTCATGGAAGACAATTTTCCCATGGCCTGGGGAAACGGGGAGGGGGGGGTATGGTTTGGGGATGACTCAAGCTCATTACATTTATTGTGCAGTCAAACCCCTCTGCTAATGATAATCTGTATTTGCAGCGGCTCCCCAGTGCTAGCATCACCGCCTCAGTCCCACCTCAGCTCATCAGGCACAGGAGCACACAACCTAGATCCCTCACATGTGCAGTTTACAGTAGAGTTTGTGCTCCTATGAGAATCTAATGCCCCCACTGATCTGACAGGACATGGAGCTTATGCAGTGATGCCGGCGATGGGGAGCGGCTGTAAATACAGATGAAGCTTCTCTTCCTCACCACCTGCTCACCTCCTGCCACCTGGGCCTGTTCCTAACAGGTCATAGACTGGTACTGGTCTGCAGCCTGTGGGTTGGAGACCACAGACTTAAAGCATATAGTATCACTTAATATAGAAATAACTGAGGGTCAGTTATAAAATCCACAAATTTCTTAAATATCATTGTCATTGATTTTAAAAATTTTAGTTAGGTCTATTTTAATTTAATGTGATTTATGTTATTTGCTAAAATTCTTGATTTTGCTTTTGCTTTATTTCATGATATATCTATGTCACATAAACTTAAATTACTCTCTTCATCTCTGCCATCAGGTTCTTAGTTGAGAAAATGATAATATTAGTATTTTCTTCATAGAGTTTTTACAAAAAAAAAAACCCAATAAAATAATACCAAAAACAACAACAACAATGCCTGGCACACAGGAACTGCTCAATAGTTTCTATCTTCTATTTTTTATATTTTTCTATTTACTGTTTATTTCAACAAATGATCTATCATCTATGTGTATATGTGTCTGTATGTGTGTAAGTGTGTATGTGTAACAGACAGTTATAGGACAGTCTCTATTCTAGACTCTTGAGACTATCAGTGAATACACCAATATAAAAATCTTTCTTTGAACTTAAATTTTGGAAGAGTAGACAGTAAATATCAAATAGAACAGTATAAGGAAAATTGCAAGAGCTAGGTACAAATTATTGCAAGCTTAGATAGATATTTGTGCCTTGTTTGAATTATTTAAGGGATTGAGACCTGTAGAAATCTGGGGAAAAGCACTGTAGACATAAGGAACTGCCAGTGGGTCTTAGGAAGACATAGGCTGAATGTGAGTGAGAAAGAAAGTAGCAGACATTGAAGGAAGAGGATTAACATGTTCTATATCGTGTAGGGTTTTATTAGCTTTTATAAAAACATTGGCTTATTTATATTCTTAGGGAATTCGAGTACCCTTGGAAGATTTTGAGCAACGGGTGACATTGTCCTGCTAAAACAAGATCACTGAGGCTCCTGTGTTGAGAATTGACATTTTGTGAGCAAAAATTTGGAAGCGATGGAGGAAATACAAGCAAGGTATTATAATGGCATGAACTGAGTTGGTAGCATGAGAAATAGTTGAATTTGAGCTATATTTGATGATCCATCAGTATTTCCCTAACAACTATATTTGAAATGTAGGAAGAATACAAAAGTGAAGGGGATGACTCCAAGGGTTTTGATCTTTAAAACTGGAAGGAGGGAGTTTTCATTCATGGTAAAGGGGAAGATTGAGCAAATTTTGAGGAAAAGATCTTCTTGGGATATATACATTGAGATATCTATTTAGAATACAAATGGAGAGGATGAGTAAGCAGTTCTATATTGAACCTATGATTTAGGTGGAGAGATTTGGAGATATTTTTGTAGTTTTCAGAATACAAATGGTATTTCAAGTTATGAGACTGCATGAGTTCAGCAAGGTGCAATATAAATAGCAAAAAACAGTGTTTTAAAGATACTTGCAATTCTGGAGCATTCCATCATTAAACAATAAGGAAGAAGGGGGGATCTGCAAAGAACACTAAAAAGTGTGGCCACAAAGACAGTTGGAAAACAAAAGAGTGTTATTTTGGAAGCTGATCAAAAAGTTACAGGAGGGAGGAGCATTCAACATGGCAATGCTGCTTGTAAGTTGAGAACTGACCATTGGATTTATCAATGTGGAGATCATTAATGACCTTGACAAGAGTAGTACTGTAGAGTGTCTGGAAGAAAGCATGATTGGAGTAAGTTCAAGAGAGAGCAGAAGGAAAGGAAGTGAAGAAAGTAAATATATAATGAAATCAAATAAAACAGTATAGAGCATTCATTATTATTTATGTTCACATAATTGCAAACATTTGACAAATCAGTCATGATTATTATGAGCCTCAAGACAAAGCATAGTGTATTCCTGAGCTTCCTCAGAATTAAGCAGATAATGCATTAACAGAATTTAAAGATATGCAAAATATTTCTATCTAGGAAAATACTTGTATTATTATTGGTGAAACAAATAATGAGAGTTAAATTAAGAATTCCTTATAGCTGAAGTGATATGTATAACTATGTATAACAAACACCCAGAAAAAAGTGCTCTGAAGCCACTAAGCTCATATAACATCAAGTCTAAGGTCATGTTTATATGATCAACATGAACCCCTTGCTACTTTCAGAATCAACAATGCTTGTATTAATATATCCTTCTCATAGCTGCAGCTCAGATTTTTTTTTAATATTCTTCAAACTTCACAATTAGATACAGTTTAGTTATAGATTTTCAACAGTGGCCTTTTGTAGTGGAATCACCAGTCAATAGACCATGTACACAAAAGTGTCTTATAACTTGTAAGGTAAATACTATTGAAATGAGAAAAATATACAGTGTATATATTCTCTTCTAAATAAAACAATTGAGCTCCAAAAATAATGCAATACAAATAATTGAATATGCTTTCAGTTTGTAAATTGACAGAGGTTTAGTAAAATTCACTGTGTTAAATGACAACAAGAGGCAAAACCAAAGAAATGTAGACATGGATTGATCATTTACCTGGGATCATGATCCTTAGAAGGTCTCTTGTCTTCAATGTCTCTACTTAGCAGAACACAATTTCTAACTAAGAACAGGAGAATTTTATGCAGGAAGAATAAATATTCAATTTTAGAAACATTTCACAAACTATAAGTATAAATAATAAAAGTACAGATTATGTATCAAACTCTACTAGATCTACAGTATTGAGGCCAAATGAAAAAAGACAGACATAGTCAATAAAATCACAAAAGACCATCATAATGAAAAGCAGGCCTGTGATATCAGGATCTGTCTATTAAAGCATGGTAGCATGGAAGAACCCTCTCTGTGTAGTTCAGACAAATTTGCCTAGAAACAGATTAATTCATGATGTTATTATGAACTGTCATTTAGATTTTAGCCAGATACTTTATAGATTCTTTAAATTAACTCTATTTTGGAGCATGAAGTTGAGTCTAAGGGAATATGAAGATATCATGAGTATCTTATCTTTAAAAAAAGAAAACTTTCTATTGAAAAGACAGAGCATTTGAAGATGTGACTTCCCTGGTCTTTGCTCTGTAAAAGGATGAAGTCCTTTCTTAAATCTTTTCATTTAGTCTTAAAGTCTGCAAAGGTAGGGTTTAGTATTTCACCTATATGGAAAAAAATATGTGTCTATCATAGGATTTTTTATGAGTTATAAATAGACTCTGTTGAAATAAATTTTAATATTAGCGCACTTTCTTTGCAGGATGGACTAAAACACACACATACATGCATGCACACACACATTTTAAAAAAGAAATAAAATAGAACATTTGTTTTGTATTAAAAATTCATTAGTATATTTCAGGGAATAAAATATATTCATAAGAAGTTTTAAATATTTAATGTGAAAGATTTTACTAGCAAATAATTTCATTAAAGAGTAATCTTAAATTGATGTTTTTTTCTTTTAATAAATATGCCAGATTTAATTATCCCAACCTAACAGTATAGAAGGTAGTGAACATTAAATCCACTGTAATATTATTTTTATGTTGTATTACCTTTATTGATATCAATTTAATTAAAATACGCATTGGCAAGGTGCAAAACGACTTAATTATTTAAAACAATACTTTACTTAATCACTGCCAAACCTAAAAATTAAGCACCACCAAGCGACTTACTCTTTAGTTTCTTACAAAACCATTGAATAGAAATAAATTATGAAAAACCATAATTAGTGCATTTTAAATTGTTCTTTATCTAATAAATAGAAAATTAAAATCAACCTTTCAGAAAATGTTCAATTTTTAGCTAGACAAAGAATAAACTTCTAAATGTGTATCTAAGGAAACTCTATTTTCCACAATTCTATCTGGGTTTCGTATATTCATGATAAACTTTTATTGAACTACTATATGTACATGGTTTTGACTTATGTTTGATTTGCTTTTAATCAGAAACAAAAATTTGAGCAGTGAGACACATTTCCTATAGTTGAGATTCATGTATATATATTTTTTATTTTTGTATATCTTGTTTATAGTTGAATCCCTAGAAGAGAGTAAGCAATAAATATTTATTGAGTATGGGTATAATTGAATGGATAAATGGCTTGAAAAATGAATGAATGAATGAAATATCTCTTCCTCTTTCGTTTTAAAAAGAAAAACATTTAGCCTTGAGACATGAAGTAAAGAATCATTAATTGAAACCCTGAAGATCCTATTGTCAAGCTAAGGACTCTTCACTACAGCAGATCTTTTCCTAGTTATCAGTGGAAATATCATGTAAGAAAAAGAAAAAGCAATATTTAAGGAAGTGACAGTTGCTATGGAGGGACAAGGTGATAGTACACTAAATCTTAATTTATGCTTAGACCCTGACTAAAATGAGCTGTGAGACTGTGAGACAGGCAAATCATGAATGAAATAATTACTAGATTAGTATGGTAGATGAAGAGACCAAGAGAAAGAAAACAGTATTTTATATACCTCACAAGAGAAGTCTAAAAAACCTGGTGGCCAAGTGGATAGATTAGAAAAGAGTGCAGAGAAATCAAAAGAAACCCAAGAAGTATTTGTGGGAATGCTAAGGTGAATGTTATATGTGTTGAAATCTAGTCTCCAGTGTGGTGGCATTAAGAGATGAGGCCTTTGTGTGGTGATTAAGTCATGAGGGTTCTGTGCTAATGAATAGGATGATGCCCATATGAAAGAGGCTTAAGGGAGCTTGTCTGCCCCTTCCACCATGTTAGGATACATTGAAGATACATCCATGAAGCAGGGAGCAAGCTCTCACCAGGCATCAAATCTCCTGGGGTCTTTGTCTTGGACTTCCCAGGCACCAGAACTGTGAGCAATAAATCTCTGATGTTTATAAATTACCCAGTCTGTTAAGAGTAAGAAGTCAGTTAGGTACAAGCAAGGGAGGAGGGAACGGAAAGGTTAGTCAACTGGCTGGAACAAACAGCCCTTGAACAAACAGACCTAAGGAGAAGAAAAGAGCCATTAATTTCCCTGCGTTCCACAGGTACAAAGAGGCCTTTCCCCATTATATGTGAGTAAGAACAGAGTGAACACTGGCTACTCAGGCTTCTTTGACTTCAACAAACAAAAACAGCAACTGCTCAGGATTTGGCACAGTTGCTCCTTTGGAGCCTGCCAGTATCTTTCTTGAGAGGGTACTTTCGCTTCTACACAAGGCTTTCCTAAGCCTGTCTGTCCCTTTTTACTGGATAAACTTGCCACTATCGCTCAGTTGTATGTGCGTCCTGAAATTCCTTTCTAAGGCATTAGCAAGAGCCTTTATCCTGATGGCAACTCTAAGGTATTTTGTCAGAGCAGCCCAAACAGACTAGGATAATGAAGTACTTGAAGAATAATATTTCCATGTTGATTGAAGAAGGAAAGAGGTAACATTTTGGGGAAAATATGATGATTCCAAGTTTCAGAATACTAAGCTTTGAAAAGAGTGAAGACAACAAAACAAACATGTCTTGGAGGACTTCAAAAGCACAGGATTTTTTTTTAATGTTAAAATGGTAAGTCTGGTAATGAAACATTAGTCTTTATGTTGAAAAACTGTTTGAAATACTCATGTGAATGAATGAATTAATAATATGCTGACTTTCTCTTTTGTTGCTCAAAATCTCTTTTATCTTTGGGACTTTATGTTGCTCTATCATCTGCATAGAATGTTCTCACTCATATCTCCTTTGCTGGCATCTTTTCACTATGAACTGAAACCTCATCTCCTCAGAGTGGCCTTTGTTGAACTTGTACTTATATGCAAAGCACCATTTTATGCATTTTACATACATTAACTCATTTAATCCTGATGAAAACTCTATGAACTAGGTAGTATCATAATTTTATTTTACTTGGTAAAGAGGAGACAAAGAAAGTCTAAGAAGTTTGTAATAGCAGATAGAAAGTGGTAAACTCTGTCAGTGAGAAAAATGAGACTTGAACCAAGGCAGTTTGTGTCTTAATGCATTTTCTTAACCACCAATTTATGCTACTGAAGTATTCGGTCACCCTTATCT